GATCATGCTCAACGTCATCTTGCTACAATATATAACAAGGACAAAACCAGGAACTAAAAGCCACAATAGCCAGGCTACAACATAATCCAAAAGATAAAGAAAAACAAAACATAAAAAATTCAAACCACAAAAGAACAGGCTAAAACATAAGCCAAAGTCATAACAAATATCACGTGACATTGAACTTATATGATGATCTTGAATGGCCTTCACTCAAATACAGCTATGCATGGAGCACGTGTATACATGACCGTTATCCATACTGCATGAATCTGAGCCATATGCACATAATAAAAAACCCAGATATTACTATGTCTGACTACGTGTTTTTTTCTGTGACACATTTGAATAAATCACACTATTGTGGCCTCCCATTATTCGGCCAAGGCGCTTTTTATCACCTACGGCTAGTAAATTTATACGAATGCATAACAACTGATAAATGGATACGATATCAAATGTTTTCACAATCCCATACTACGATTAAACAATAATTATAACGATAACAATAACAGCAATTGGTTTTATTCATTCTTGGGAACATATCAAGTTATATTTTTTTTTTTTAATTTTTGAATAGATCTCTGATACAGGTTAGAATGAAATAACAGATACGAGTTATTCATCAACAAAATGATGTTTTATATATCTTTGTCTATACGTTAGGAAGAGGTTAGCTACAAACAGGTGGTCTAAAGTATGCTTGATTTATTTATTAAAGATTATCGGTTTCTAACGCAGAATTGCCTTTTTGATATAGACAGATGGTTTGATGGGTGCTTTAGACAAGTCGTAGCTACAGGCGCGGTTTCTAGGGACCATTAAGGACTTCACATATATATACGTGATACGTGATATTAATAGAAAGATGGTAGCTTCAGACATTTACATGGTAAGACTGAATGCTGCTTATATGTAGGATGTGTAACTGTATATGATACAAGAATGACACTTTGAAATATGTGTAGCTTTGCATGATCTCTGATTTAGATTACCAGTACGTTATAGACAGTTGGTAGCTACTGATTTGAGTATTCTAACACTTAAAAATACGAACAATATGTTTATAAAGATGAGATCTGTATATGATACAAAAATGATACTTTGAAATGTGTGTAGCTATAAATGGTCTCCGAGTGTTGAGCTTCTCTGAGGTCATCGGTACGTTATAGACAGTTGGTAGCTACTGATATGGGCATTCTTACACTTAATATAAGTCTGTTAAGATGAGATCTGTATATCGTACGAAAACGTATAGTTTTAAATATGTGTGGCTATGTTTGGTCTCTGAGTTAGATTACCGGTACGTTATAGACAGTTAGTAGCTACTGATATGGGCATTCTTACACTTAATATAAGTCTGTTAAGATGAGATCTGTATATGGTACGTAAACGTATAGTTTTAAATATGTGTGGCTATGTTTGGTCTCTGAGTTAGATTACCGGTACGTTATAGACAGTTGGTAGCTACTTATATGGGCATTCATGCGTGGCTATGTTTGGTCTCTGAGTTAGATTACCGGTACGTTATAGACAGTTGGTAGCTACTTATATGGGCATTCATGCGTGGCTATGTTTGGTCTCTGAGTTAGATTACCGGTACGTTATAGACAGTTAGTAGCTACTGATATGGGCATTCTTACACTTAATATAAGTCTGTTAAGATGAGATCTGTATATGGTACGTAAACGTATAGTTTTAAATATGTGTGGCTATGTTTGGTCTCTGAGTTAGATTACCGGTACGTTATAGACAGTTGGTAGCTACTTATATGGGCATTCATGCGTGGCTATGTTTGGTCTCTGAGTTAGATTACTGGTACGTTATAGACAGTTGGTAGCTACTGATATGGGCATTCTTACACTTAATATAAGTCTGTTAAGATGAGATCTGTATATGGTACGAAAACGTATAGTTTTAAATATGTGTGGCTATGTTTGGTCTCTGAGTTAGATTATCGGTACGTTATAGACAGTTGGTAGCTACTGATACGGGCATTCTTACACTTAATATAAGTCTGTTAAGATGAGATCTGTATATGGTACGAAAACGTATAGTTTTAAATATGTGTGGCTATGTTTGGTCTCTGAGTTAGATTACCGGTACGTTATAGACAGTTAGTAGCTACTGATATGGGCATTCTTACACTTAATATAAGTCTGTTAAGATGAGATCTGTATATGGTACGAAAACGTATAGTTTTAAATATGTGTGGCTATGTTTGGTCTCTGAGTTAGATTACCGGTACGTTATAGACAGTTGGTAGCTACTTATATGGGCATTCATGCGTGGCTATGTTTGGTCTCTGAGTTAGATTACCGGTACGTTATAGACAGTTGGTAGCTACTGATACGGGCATTCTTACACTTAATATAAGTCTGTTAAGATGAGATCTGTATATGGTACGTAAACGTATAGTTTTAAATATGTGTGGCTATGTTTGGTCTCTGAGTTAGATTACCGGTACGTTATAGACAGTTGGTAGCTACTGATATGGGCGTTCTTACACTTAAGTCTATTAAGATGAGATCTGTATATGGTACAAAAAAAGTATGGTTTTAAATGCGTGGCTATGTTTGGTCTCTGAGTTAGATTACCGGTACGTTATAGACAGTTGGTAGCTACTTATATGGGCATTCATGCGTGGCTATGTTTGGTCTCTGAGTTAGATTACCGGTACGTTATAGACAGTTGGTAGCTACTGATACGGGCATTCTTACACTTAATATAAGTCTGTTAAGATGAGATCTGTATATGGTACGTAAACGTATAGTTTTAAATATGTGTGGCTATGTTTGGTCTCTGAGTTAGATTACCGGTACGTTATAGACAGTTGGTAGCTACTTATATGGGCATTCATGCGTGGCTATGTTTGGTCTCTGAGTTAGATTACTGGTACGTTATAGACAGTTGGTAGCTACTGATATGGGCATTCTTATACTTAAGTCTATTAAGATGAGATCTGTATATGGTACACAAGAAGTATAGTTTTAAATGCGTGGCTATGTTTGGTCTCTGAGTTAGACTACCAGTACGTTATAGACAGTTGGTAGCTACTGATATGGGCATTCTTACACTTAAGTCTATTAAGATGAGATCTGTATATGGTACAAAAAAAGGATAGTTTTAAATGCGTGGCTATGTTTGGTCTCTGAGTTAGATTACCGGTACGTTATAGACAGTTGGTAGCTACTGATATAGGCATTCTTACACTTAAGTTTATTAAGATGAGATATGTATATGGTACAAAAAAGTATAGTTTTAAATGCGTGGCTATGTTTGGTCTCTGAGTTAGATTACCGGTACGTTATAGACAGTTGGTAGCTACTTATATGAGCATTCTTACACTTAAGTTTATTAAGATGAGATCTGTATATGGTACACAAAAGTATAGTTTTAAATATGTGTGGCTATCTTTGGTCTCTGATTTAGATTACTAGTACGTTATAGACAGTTGGTAGCTACTTATATGGGCATTCTTACACTTAAGTTTATTAAGATGAGATATGTATATGGTACAGAAAAGTATAGTTTTAAATATGTGTAGCTTTGCATGATCCCTGAGTTAGACTACCAGTACATTATAGACAGATGGTAGCTACTTATATGGGCATTCTAAGACTTAAAAATATGAAAACCAATGTGTATTACGATGCGATCTGTATATGATACAAAAAGATAGTTATAGATATGAGTGGTTTCTGAGGCAAGCTTCGTGATACGTTAAAGACAGGTGGTAACTACAAATATATACATTCAAAGACTGGTGGTAACTACAAATATATACATTCAAAGACTAGTACATAAAAAAGGTATGTATTAGTGTATATGGGGAAGTTTCCCCGCAGTTTTAAGTTCGCCTTTCGCCCCCCGTAATGAGAACCTATAACTACGGCAAACATTTATAAACAACATAATAAAATGTGAGGGGCGAATTCAATATTGGGCAAAATTGGATTTTACTGTCGTTGGGCGAAAATTGGATAGCCGATCATTTTACGCTATTCAGTCTATTATATATTATGAAAAATGATTATTATAGACAGACATAGTTATAAAAAGTTTGTGGGGCGGATTTGACGGTGGTAAATACAATCTAAGACTTCTAGATGTAAATAAGCAATAACCAATAACGTTAAATGAGGGTCAAATGATAGTTATAGACAAGTTTACTGACAAACAATTAGTTTCTAAAGCCGGTCTGATTGCAAATTGTAGATTAATTAATTTCGCGACCTTTCATTCATTGCCTTACGTACTCGAGGAGGTATTTACTCGCGTTCAACTAAACGTGACTTATGTTATATATACTGTATGCCGGGTAAAATCATCGACGGTAAAATCCATTTTCACACGATGTTAAATGTGCCCTTCATATCTGATTAATATGCATATGATGTTGTTTACAAATGTTCCCCTGTAATGATAAATTTGCTCTCATTACGGAGGGTGAAAAGGCAACTATTAAACTGCAGCGAACATTTCCCGGTTTACAGTAAAAGTATTGTTGGTTAGAAGCGAAAACAAATGTATCAATAATCTACAGTTGAAATTTGAACTCAAATTATACCAAGCGAAAGGCTTCAAACGTTTGCGTTTCACTTCTTTCATACACTCTTCGGTATGCGATACAAATTTACAATATGGCTTCCAATGCCTTATTGTATTCGTGATATAATGATTTTCGCGCATAATCGTTTTAAGAAACGATTTTAAAACCAAACTCTACGCTTAAAGAATATTTGTACAAAACGCACTACAGTATACACGGTTAGTAAAACGCGGATGCATTCCCTCTTAAGAATAACTTCAGAAAAAATCAGTCCGCGAAAATTAAAAGTGTACAAAATGAAATCTATGTACAAAAGGCTGAAACGCATTTAGTTGTGGTATATTATTACAAAGTAAAAACAACTAGTTATCAATGCGCATGAAAATATATAAATAGACAACGACTCGAATTAACAATAGAAGCAATAAAAACAAAGGAGTATACTTACTTATTAATAATCCAAAAAGTATGCAAAAAATAAAGTCCATGTTAATGTAAGATTTCCGATCCATTTTGTAAAAGTTTATATGTATATATATAATTTCCTTGGTTTCAAGTACAACTCATTTGGTTCATGAATCTATGCCTTCCGTGCTAGCACTAGACCGCTCCGTGTCTCTACATGTCAATGGTCATTCTGTGGCGATACAACATCTACTTGACCACAGGAACAAAAGTAAGGCATCACATACATTGGTCATCACCGGGGCGCCTAAGGGATATGTATTGTTCTCGGTGATATATGCATGCGAAAAGCTAGATCACTCAAACAAAACATCTATTGACCTTAAGTGATGTGCATACGTTGTAAGATGTACCAGTAAATGTGAAATCGACTGATGACAAAATCTTTACTGAGTGGACTTCAATGGGATATTAGCTTTGTTAAATGAATATGAACGAGTTTTATCAAGTACAAAACAATCTCCTCCCAAACCCCCTCCCCAAAAAATAACAACAACAAAAAAATAGAAAAAAAAAAACGAAAAAAAAAAACGAAAGAAAGAAAAAAAAAATGTTACAATAGTGATATCGTCTAAGGCGAGCTTACGTAGAATAATACTGACTATAAGGACTAATTAAGATGCTTTACATATCTATATAAAAGATTTCTGAGTTGAACTTTTATTTTTTCCATATATAATGGTATTTTGTTTTGTGAACATGGAAGGGTAATATTCAATAAGTATAAAACCAATCCAATCAAGAGAACGCCGACGTTTTGAGAGTTTTCTTTTTAAAACAAGGCCTACGGCGATATAAATATGTGACTGTCAATTATTTTGAAGCATATTTATGTGCAACATACAACAAATGCTAAATTGAAATAAGCTGAGGACGATATTGTCAGAACCAATGATTTCCTGGTTAACAATATATTCGGTGACAAGTCTTTCCAGCAGACTGTTGACACTTTTATGGGAACAAACTGTGCCCCTCTTTTGACCGATTGGTTTCGGTTTTCATCTGAAGCTGAACTTACTGATGCGTTTATCAGACTGGTAACAAAAACCTAGGCACAACCTTCAATTTCACATTCAGATATTTATCGACGATGTGCTGTCTTTGAATGACAAGAAATCATTGACCACAAATATCGTGTATTCCCTCCTTGAAATCTAGGACGGTACAGGATCGTGTATTCCCTCCTTGAAATCTAGGACGGTACATGATCCTGTATTCCCTCCTTGAAATCTAGGACGGTACAGGATCGTGTATTCCCTCCTTGAAATCTAGGACGGTACAGGATCGTGTATTCCCTCCTTGAAATCTAGGACGGTACAGGCTCATAAACGCTCGTTGGAACTTTAGGTTATTGCGTTAATAAAACAACCGATATTATGATACCATTCCGAGTTTAGTAAGTTTTGTCATCAAAAGCGATTTGTGCGATAGGATCATAACACAATGTCGTGTGAACAATAAATAATGATATTAATATTTTAATGGAGTAAATAGGTGTTAATCCTTTTCAGCAGACTGCCTTAACATAAGTTCGAGAAGCTCTTGGAATAGCAAGTTTAGTGTTGACACAATCCGATCGGTGATGTCATGATAAGTGCCACCTGTCCAACATGTGTGATGGTCTTGCTAGAGTCAATTAATCATTGCAAGACACTGGTAGGAGTTTATTAAACAAAAACTGCTATCATTACGATATTTAATTTTTCACTAAATAAAAGTAAATAAGACAATAAACCAAAAAAATAAATATTAATAATCAAATATCCTACGATAAGTAGTGTTTGTAGCTAATCAATCTAAAATTAGTTAGATCAATGACTAAAAGGCCAAGACTACAAAAGCTGTTTTTGTGCCATTTTTAGGAATTCAAAAATGATTAAGTCATACCAAATGTCGAACGAACGAGAAAAAAAAGCTCGACTCGTCCGAGCGAATTTTTACCACGTCCGTATGAATATAGTTTTCCATTTTCATTGTTTTTGAGTTACTACGGTTTTAATGATACTTTCGTATTTTTTTATATTTTCATTGTTTTTACCTGCTTCTTTTCCGATTTTTATAACTTTCATTTTAAATGTTTTAAAATGTTTTATGTGCGAATTATCATCTTGTCTGCAGGAATCATAATATAGATACATGGTGTACACATGTAATCGTTACCGATATGATTACGTTCCGTTGCCTGATGTAACATGAGCGTGTATTACGTAAGCGATACATGTGCATTTCTCGTCACAAATATTTTTTACACAGTGTATGTAGATGGGAAAATCAGATTGATATAAGATTAAGATGAAAGACGAACTGATAACATTTTCATAGACGGCTTTCACGTACCAATGGAAATAGGTAGCGCTTGTCATTATAACAAATAGATAAGTATATCAAACATCCATCCTCGATACTCCAGGGGATACGCTCACTTTCGCTTTTTTTACCCCCGAATTATATCATTGCAAAATTGAAGGCTCAGTGTGACCATCTTGTGGATGAGACGAGAAGACAAGTTTGATCCCTTGATGTTCATCAGAAGAATATGTCGGTCACGTAACGATGAAATTGATTGACTTTGAAAACGGGTGTCGCTCCTCTTTAATGTTGGTCAGGTGTTTTACCGGAGACTAATCAAATAGCTTTCCACATGCCTTCGATTTTGCTTAGACATACTCCAGGGGCGCAGAGAGTAAAAATAAGCGTAACTCCAGGGCCGGTATTCATGAAACCGTTCTCATGCTCAAGCATGGATTCTGTGCTCAAACTAACTTTCTTGTAACTCGCTTAAATCATGTCAATCAATCAAAAAGTCAAATGTAAACATTAAAAACAGTATTTGTCGTCAACTAAAATGTTTCATTGACAAAACAAGATCTATTTATTAAGTTATTTACCAGAAAAAGAAATAAGGCTTGGGCACAAAATCCATGCTTGTACATGATAACGGTTTCATGGTTATGGGCCCTGGAGTGTCAAGGATAAGGGTGCAGAGAGCAAACATGAGTGTAACCCCTGGAGTGTCAAGGATGAGGGTACAGAGAGCAAACGTGAGCGTTACCCATGGAGTGTCAAGGTTGAGGGGTGCGGAGAGCGAAAGTGAGCGTAACGCCTGGAGTGTCAAAGAGGAGGGGTACAGAGAGTGAAAGTGAGCGTTACCCATGGAGTGTCAAGGCTGAGGGGTGCAGAGAGTGAAAGTGAGCGTTACCCCTGGAGTGTCAAGGCTGAGGGGTGCAGAGAGCGAAAGTGAGCGTTACCCATGGAGTGTCAAGGCTGAGGGGTGCAGAGAGCGAAAGTGAGCGTTACCCCTGGAGTGTCAAGGCTGAGGGGTGCAGAGAGTGAAAGTGAGCGTTACCCATGGAGTGTCAAGGATGAGGGGTGTAGAGAGCGAAAGTGAGCGTAACGCCTGGAGTGTCAAAGAGGAGGGGTACAGAGAGCAAAAGTGAGAGTGACCGCTGGAATATCGAGGATGTTAAGCATCTGAATCAGCAAGCAAATGCACGGTTTCTATAGTATGCAAAACACTCCTATTTGTTAATTAAGTAAAACAGCACATCTGTATTCCGAGGTGTAACGTCATTGCAAATGGTAGTATCTATAAAAAGATGTATCGAGAGGAATCACCAAAAAGAAACAGTAGGCAGTCAAAATGAAACAACAGAGATCATAAGTTAAGTCAAAGAGACAGCAGATCAGATTTGTCGTTTTCTTGGCTTCTCATAAGCAGACGACACAGAAGGAACACCCGGGTCCGTGAAACCGTTCTTATGCTCAGATTATGTGCTAAAGCGCGATTTCTTGTTCCGGTAATGAATGGACTTTGGTTAGACTAAAAGCCGAATACCGTTTTCAATATTTACATTTGACATTTTGTTTGTGTCCCATGATTAAAGCGAGTTGCAGACCATTTTGCTTCAGCACAGATCCATGCCTGAGCATGAACATGTTTTTTCTATGAATACGGGCCCTGATTCTGCAGTGAGTCCGACATTAGTCACCTCTTGTCACATCATGCTGTGGGGTGGAGCAGGCGTATTCATGCTTTAGCCCTACAGGGGGTAATATAAAGTACAACCTAGGTGTTGTCCCACTAAGGGCTTCACACTGATTGACACACTAACAGGTCTGTCGAAGCATCTGACCAGCTCAACTACTAATACAGTATCTATAAATTACAGCTGTATGGACAAAGTACGTGTAATAAAATAAAAAGTGGGTGTTGTCCCACGCAGGAGATAAGCAGTGATTGACACACTTACAGATCATCTGACCCACTCAATGCTTATACAGTATTTATAAATTATGTTCAAAGTACGTTTGATAAAATAAAATGTGGGTGTTGTCCCACTCAGGAGATAAAAAAAGGATTGACACACTAACAAAGCTTCTGACTCACTCAATAATAATACAGTATCTATAAAGTATGTACAAAGTACGTGTAATAAAATAAAGTGTGGGTGTTGTCCCACGCTACAGATACAAATGTGATAACATGCCGATATGCATGTCAAATTTGGATCCCACGTAATTCATATACAGTCAAACCTGCTTGAGTACACATGTTCCATGTAAACGGTTCGATATATAAGTAAATTATACATGTTATTCAAAATGTTCAACTTTACAGAATATAACAGGGTGAAGCTTTATCTACGTTTCACATTGTCAGTGTTTTATCATTCAATTTATTCTCAAGTTGAACTTCCAGATCTTGTCTGTTTCATTTGCTCGTGAAATTGACCAAATTAACATTGCCTGTGCTCATGAAAACATGTTTTCTGATTTTTTCTCAATGATTCATCAAACACAATAAAATATGAAAAATTTATTTTTGTATTTGTATTATTTCAGGATTAACAAATATTTTTCATGTTATGGAGATATAACACAAATAAACGGAGTGTACTCTAAATAAACCGCGAAGTGGTTTATGATGAGAGTACACTCTCCCTGTGGAAAAGTACACAATCCCTGTGGAAATCCACTTATATTGATGGACTCTTTTCTCTTAGAAATCGTGCCGCTGTATCAGCCAATCAAAAGCGACGTTACAAACGGCGACGTCATTTTTTTACGTTATGGGCTGATAACATATTGTTTTAAGCCAATCAAAATGCTTGTTACCAGCAAGATTAAATTATTATATCGGAATA